GACACCTTTTTTTTTCTTCCGTCCTAATTCCACTCTCAAACCCTCTCACTTCTTCATCCCACCGCATCCTCATGTTCTCACTCCGAACTCTGTTCCTATAGGCAGATAATGACTAAAATCCTTGCGGAGGGAAGCGGGGAGGCAGGATATTAATTCAACTTGGGAGGGGGTCACCGTCAGCCACTGGGTGGCGCAGGTGAGCAGTTCTCGTTTTCCTTGGCTTTGGTCTTTATCCTGCCGAAAAAATATCTTTCCTGTTCAACCCAGTAGCAGAAATAAAAAGGAGGGAGGAGGAATAATAATAAGCCACTTACATATTGTCTACTCTGTGCCAGGCAAAACTTTTAAGAAGACCTATTAGAGTGGTGGCTAAGAGTTAGGTTTTACAGCCAGACCCCAGCTCAGTCATCCCCCAGCTATAACGGCCTGGAATATGTTACTTCACCTCTCTGTGCCTCAACTTCCACGTCTATAAAGTGGAGAATGATAAGGCCCACCTCTTCGAATTATTATGAGGATTAACTTAACATCAGTATACTGCCTAGAGTAACCTATGACATGCAATGACCTACATGGCATCATATTCTCATTTCTTTACCTGAATTTACCATTCACAACACTCTAATGAGGTACTATTATCATCCCCATTTTATTTCATTTCACTTTTTTTTAACGTTTATTTATTTTTGAGACAGAGAGAGACAGAGCATGAAGGGGGGAGGGTCAGAGAGAGGGAGACACAGAATCTGAAGCAGGTTCCAGGCTCTGAGCTGTCAGCACAGAGCCCGACGCGGGGCTCGAACTCACGGACTGCGAGATCATGACCTGAGCCGAAGTCGGCCGCTTAACCGACTGAGCCACCCAGGCGCCCCTCATTTCACTTTTTATCATCCCAATTCTACATACCCAGAAACTGGTTTGCCCAAGATCACAGAACTCGTAACTGCAGAGTCGGGATTGGAACCCGGGAACTCGCCCTTGTATCGTCGGCCAGATCCTTCTTGGTCCCGGATTTAAAGCACCTTTACAGATCTTTAGATGGGTGGGTCTGTGACGTCTCCAACCATTAGCTTCATATGTTTTTCTCCGAGAATTTGGGACCGGAGCCCCTCACCCCGTCTCATCTCACCGCTCCTGGGCCACCTCCCCACCCCCGCAGGTCGCCGAGTGTGCCTGGGCGAGTCGCTGGCGCGCATGGAGCTCTTCCTCTACCTCACCGCCATCCTGCAGAACTTCTCGCTGCAGCCGCTGGGGGCGCCCGAGGACATCGACCTGACGCCGCTCAGCTCCGGGCTCGGCAACTTACCGCGGCCTTTCCAGGTGTGCCTGCGCGCGCGCTGACGCCGCGGCCCTTCCAGATCCGCCAGGGAGCCGGGAGGCCCGCCGTGGGGCTAGCGCCGTCCTCTTCTCGTTCCAACTGTGCCCGTGATCCCTCTCGCTGTCACACTCGCTTCCCCGCACCTGAGCCTGCCGCCTACCGGTCCGTCCGCCCCCCCATCTCGACCTGGTCGGCGCCCCCCAGAAGCAGAGAAGCGCAAAGGGAAGGGGAAGGGCTTGCCTCGTTCCTATTGCGCGCCCTCTTGGGGGCCGTTTGAGTCATTTTCTAGTAAACTGTAAAAGATTCCAACTGCCTGGGCTGAATTATAGAGAGGACGGTCCCCCAGGATGGGGGGAAGGAATGTCTGGCTGCAGAGAAAGAAGACACCAAAGTGACCGGTTCTACCGTCACCCTTAGAGTGGCTAAAAACTGGGAGAAATTGTTTCCCAGGGTAATAAGGGCTGTGAGGCCTGACGACAGAGAGGCAGAGAAACCCAGGCAGAGAAAAAGACAGCGGTCTAGAGACATAAGGATGCGGTCGGCCCAGAGATGCGGTACAAAGGTGGAGATATAAGCAAGGGAGAACATGAGAGACTGAGCGATAGACACACACAGACTGAGAAATAACAATTACTCAAACTTACACAGTGCTTCCTATTCACTCTAAGGCCCCGTTTAAATCTCCCTGTGAGGCAGAGCAGCATGTTACACTTTTAGAGACTCAGAGAGAGGAAATGCCTTGGCCAAGATCACACGGCCGGAGGGCGACAGAGCTGGGATCAGGATGCAGACTCCAACGCTGGTCCCCTCCACCTCACAAGTCAGAGACACAGAGCAATGCAGAGGGGTACAGGGACGGAGAAATGGGGAGACAGAGAGGAGAGAGAGAGACAAAGAAAGAAACAGAAATGGCCAGAGAAAGCCAGAGAAGAAGGGCAATGAAGGGGGGAAGGGAGGCACCAGGAAGCCTGAAAGACTATTCCCTTGTCTTGCAATGTCTCCCTTTGGGGTAGGGATAGCAGTCCCAGGCATGGGGCCTCCCAACCTGAGACTGGGCTTGTTAGCCTGACATCCTGCTGACAGAAGCTTTTCTCAATGAGTAGGCAGGCATCTTAAGCTCCAAGGAGCCAGAGTCAGAGGGGCGGTGGCCCCCCAGCCATGGGCGGAGGTGGCTTAGGTGACCGTACCCTAAATGGGGCCTCCCCAAGGCTATCCAGAAGCTAGGACACAACACACTCTGCTGAGACTTATAGGCGGTCCCCACACCCATAGGCGTCGGCTCCTTAATCCCCATGCTGTTCCCACCACAGGCCAACAAGAGTCTGCCCCAAGGGCCCAGGCAGGGACGCAGAGGTGGAGAGAGAGAGGGAGAGACTCAGAGGTCCCGAGAAAGAAAGATGGGGAGACAACAGCAAAGAGAAACACATGGAAATACTGAAAAAGAGTTGGAGAGAGACAGGAGAGACCAAGAGATGCAGAGACAGATGGGAGAGATCATGAAAACCAAAGACCAGGAGTGAGACAGAGAGACAGTGGACAGATGCTCAGAGAGAAGGAAGACAGGAGATGCTAAAACAGAGATAGAGGGGCGCCTGGGTGGCTGAGTCAGTGAAGCACCCGACTTCGGCTCAGGGCATGATCTTGAGGTTCATGAGATCGCACCCTGAGTCAGGTTCTACACTGACAGCGCAGAGCCTGCTTGGGATTCTCTCTCTCCCTCTCTCTCTGCCCCTCCCCTACTCATGCTCGCTCTCTCTCACTCTCTCTCTCTCAAAATAAATAAACACACACACACACACACAAGATGAGACAGAGACACAAGAAGAGAGACAGTCACAAGGATTCAGCAAGACAGAAACTGAGAAAAATAGAGTCTAAGTTAGAGATAGAAACAGACAGAATTCGGGATACAGAGAGTCATGCATTGGTTCAACATTTACTGAGCCCCCACTGTGTATTTTAGTGCTGGGGATACAGAAGTGAACAACAAATGCCAGCTCTTGAAGAGACCCAGAGAAAGCAGTTCATCTGAAAGCCTGACACAGTGGGATGGGGCCAGGTCAGGGGAGGGCACACCCCGCAGCACCCCTGCTGTCTCTGGAGTCAGCCCCTGTAACCGGGGAGGGGGGGGTAGGGCGGCGGGGGGCAGGGGGCCTGCCCACACTCCTTGCCAGTCATTGGGTTCCTGGACAGAAAGGCTGACAGGGAAGGAGATCCATGGCAGAGATAGAGGCAGGGAGACAGGGAAGAGGGAGATTAAGGGTAAGATAAACTGGGAGGGATACAGATATGAACAGAAGCAGGTACTGAGAGTAAAACAGAAAGAGAGAGATGAACAAAGAAACAGAAATTGAGAGTGAGAGATGAAACAAAGATAGAGACAGAGATACTGAGAGACATTCCTGGAAACAAGCCCAGTTCCAGACAGTGCACAGCCCCCACCCTCTCCCCACCTCTGGGCCCTGTGCCAGGCACCTGTCAGAAGGCTAGATCTGGTGAGGCACGGCCAGGTGAGGCAGGTGCTGGTGGGAGGGTGGGCCTCATTCCTGAACAGTGTTTTGAGCTCTGACTCAGCCCCATCCCCAACCCTACCCCTGGGCACCTTGTGCCCTCTGGCCCACACCCCCAGGTGTGGCCATCAAGACCTGGCCTCAGGTGGGGGTGCCCAGTGAGACTCATGGGAAACTGGAGACATGGGGTGCAGCAGCATGGGCATGGGACATTCAGGGACATCTGGGAACTAGAGCATTGGGAACAGAGGTGGTGAGGGGTTCAGGGTAAGGCACAAGGCGGTCAGCATGTGGGAAGGCACCCAAGAGTCATAAGGCTAGGCACAGAAGTGCCAGGCTGATGGGTGCCAGGAGGCCAGGGGACTTGAGGGAGCATCTGGTAGATAGGTACAGAATACCAGGTTCCAAGAGCAAGGGAATGGAAGTGACAAGGGCTCAGGTGCGAGTCCCTAGCAATCACAAGCACAGGGCACAGGAGTGCCAGGCTAAAGGGTATGTCACCAGGGGTGTTTTTAGGAGTCAAGAACGTATTTAGGAATCAGAAGTATAGAGTACAGCATTCAGGGGGTCTCGGGCCCAAAGGTGGCCAGGGCATTCAGAAATGCACATCTACAGGCCAAGTAAGATGGACCTGAAGGACCCAAAGGCTCAGTAGGGTGCACCTGTTGGCCAGGTGTATTGATGTGAAAGATGCAAACAGGTGCATTGACATGGAAGTTGCCAAATAGGGCACGCTGGGCCTGGCACAACAGAGAGCTAGAGCTGGGGGGCTGGGTGGAGACCTCGGATGAGGAATCTGCAGAATGAGTGGTCTGGAGACGCCCACCTCTCCCACTCCCGGTATGCGCCCCTGCTCCACCCAAGACACAAAGGGAATCACATAAAGGCAAAGGGGGGCAGGCATGGAGGACACAGAGCATGATGTCCACGGGTGTCACAGCGCAGTTACTGCTGCTGGCGCTAGCCAGGCGGGGTTGGGGTGCACAGGGCACTCAGCCTCGGGGGTCCTACCCCCTGGGCCCAGGCCGCTCCCACTGCTGGGGAACTTGCTGCAGCTGGAGTCTGGACGGCTGGACCATACTCTCATGGAGGTAGCCCCGAGAGTGGGTGGGGATGGGGGGAAGGATTCTGGACTCGTGGAGGTGGGACTGGGGGCTGGAACACACCTGGTTCTCTGAATGAAGACAGCTGAGGGCTCTGACCCCATGGGCCCTGAGGAAGGTTGAGGGGCCTGGAGTCCTGGGTTCCAGGAAAGGAGGAGACTAGGGGTGGAAGCTGGGAGCCCCGGCATCAGTTTGAAGGAGGAGGGGGACAGTGGGCCTGAGCTCCCGGTGCCGCCCGCTCCCTACCTCCCTCTACCCGCCCCGGTTTCTGGGTCCTGAGGGAGTTAACAGCCTAGGGTGGGACGTCAGATAGGGGATCCGGGGGGAAGGGGTGCAGAGAGGTCTGCTCTCCTGGTTCAGGGTGGGGAGGAGAGTACCGAGGGCTCAGACGCCTGGTTCTGAGGGTGCAGAGGGCTCGGGACCTCGTCTTCCAGATCTCGAGGGAAGTGGGAGCTGGGGTCCTGGACTCCTGCGGATGAAGGAGGAGGTGGGGATCTGAGCGCCTCGGCCAGGAACGAGGGGCTGAAATGGGGACTCCTGGGTCTGAAGTTAGAGAGAGATGGGGGCGGGGCTCTGGGGTGGAGGAAGCGGTCAAGAGTCCCGACCGGGACCCGCTGAGCACCGGCTCTGCGCAGCTTTCTGGCCGCTGGGGCCCGGTGTTCACAGTGCGGCTGGGCCGGCGCCCTGCAGTGGTTCTCTGCGGCTACTCAGCGCTGCGGGACGCATTAGTGCTGCAGGCGGATGCCTTCTCTGGCCGTGGGGCCACGGCTGCGTTCGAACGCTTCACTCGCGGAAACGGTGAGTCCCCGGCGGCGGCGGCGGAAGTGCTGGTCTGGACCACCCAGTTCGAGCGATTTAAAGGGCTGGACCGGGGCAATAGGGCGGTGCCTAATAAAAATAAAGGCCAATGAAGGCAAACAGCAGGAAGGTGGGGCGGAGCTAAAAGGGACCAAATAGGAGCGGGGGCGGGGGGTGGTGCCCGTTCCTCGTGCAGCCAATAGAAGAGAAGAGCCTAAGAGTCAAAGCCAAAGAGATCAGGCGCTCGTAAGGGATCGAGACCAGTAGAGGTGAGGCCAATGTGCGGATAGGACCGAGAAGGCTGGGTTTGCAGCAAAAAGGTCTGGAAAGCAGCAGAGTGAAGGGTGGCGAGGAGGCGGGCTCCAAGACCGGACGCTTCCAGGACGGGCGTGGCCAACTCCCCGGGCCGTCCCCTTCTCTGCCCCACCCCCAGGCATCGTGTTTTCTAACCGGCGGCGCTGGCGGCGCTGGCTGACGCTGCGAAATTTTGCACTGGGACCACTGCAGGAGTTCCGGCTGGGAGCGCGGACCATAGAGGAGCGCATCTTGGAGGAGGCGGGTTGTCTGCTTGGCGAATTTCAAGCCACCATTGGTGCGGTCTGGTCGGGAAAGGAAAGGGACCTTTTGTGGATGTGGCTAATGATCAAGAAAGGGTTGGTAGAGCGTGGGACTCTAGATCTCAGGATATTCCAGCACCGCGTTGAGTGTAGAGATTACTTAAAAAGGAGGTGCGGCACATTTGTAGTGAACAAAGTCAGTAAACCAAGCCACCGCATTAGACCCCGTCCTGTTTCCACCCCCAGGAGCACCGTTTGACCCCCGGCGGCTACTAGATAATGCTGTACCTAATGTTATCTGTTCGGTGGTCTTCGGGAACCGCTATGGCTATGAGGACCCAGAGTTCCTGAGGCTCCTGGACAGCCTCTTCAATGACAACTTCCGCATCATGAGTTCCAGATGGGGTGAGGTGAGAGGGCCCACCCCAGTCCCTTCCTCCCGTGTCAAACCTGTGCCAAGCCCCAAGTACATACACTTTGCCTACATTGGATCATTAGATTGAGAGTCTTGGAATCTTGGAAGGGAAGAGTTCTAGAACTAAGAACATTAAAATCCTGGTGCAAGGGCACCTGGGTGGCTCGGTCTGTTAAGTGTCCAACTCTTGATCTCAGCTCAGGTCTTTTTTTTTTTCAACGTTATTTATTTGGGGACAAGAGAACATGAACAGGGAGGGGAGCAGAGAGAGAAGGGAACCTAGAATCAAAACAGGCTCAGGCTCTGAGCCATCAGCCAAACCCGGCCATGAGACTCCAGACTTTCTAGACAGTGAATCGTGACCTGGCTGGTCGGACAACAACTTAACCGATAATCACATAAGTAAATAAATAAGTAAAGTAGAATAGTCTTAATCTCAAGTCATGAGCTCAAACCCAGTTGAATCTGCTGGGACAACCACTCACCTACAAAAAAAAAGAAAAAAAAAAAAAATCCCACATGTTCTAGGGACCCTAGTGGTCTTGTTCAAGGTCAGTTGCCATCTTGTCCCCCCAGATGCTTCTGGCCTTCCCCCTCCCTCCTTGACTGGCTCCCGGGTCCACACCACGAATCTTTCAAAAACTTCTGGAGCTTCAGGTCTTCATCTCTGAAACAAATCAGCAGCACCAACAGACACAGCCAGGGGAGCCCATGATTTCATGGGTAAGCTTCCTCTACCGATCAGAATGGAGAAGGTTGGGCCCGTTACCCCTAAATTCCATATTAAGCCCAACAAGGGTGCCAGGCACATGGCAACCCATACATCTCTTATGCATAGAACAGAAAGACCCAGAAATCCATTCCAGGAGGCGTTGATGACCACACACAACCTTTTCTTTGAGGCACTGAGACCACAAGCACGCAGCTCTAGATTCTGGGGCTCCTTATTCTGCTTAAGTACCCGTTGTTGGCAGGTCTGTGAGCTGGAAAGAAAGGATGAGGGGCTAGGGTTTGGGGGGGTGGCTGGGGGTCAGGACACCACGCAGCCCTCTGCCCACACCAGCCAAAAGTGCAGTGGTAGGTTGGACGCACCCCAAAGGCGGAGGACCCATAGCGCCCGCCCCTACACACATAGCAGCGTGCTGCAGATCAGCTTCATCAGCGTGCTGCGCACGCTGGGAGACTGCCAGCCCTCACCGAGGAGACACCCACCTGCGTGGCTACTTTTTTGCCCAGAAGGTACCCACCCGAGCAGGGGATTCTGTGCAGGGGCCTCTAGAACCTGAAGCATCGGGCCTGAGCCTGTCCGACAATTTACCCCAAAGTCTGGGAACAGAAGGTCCACCTTCCCAGTGGCTTTACAGGGTCTTGGATGGATAAAGGCAGTAGGCTAATCAAAGTCCACAGAGTAATCACTTATGCATCCCCAGGGCACCTTTGTGATTCCTCTCTGGTGTCTTCACACAAGTGGACCCCGCAATTCAGGACCTTCAACCCCACCAACTTCCTGGGCTGACAGAGCTGAGTTCCAGAGCAAAGGAAGTAACCTTCATGCCCTTTGCCTTGGGCAGGAAGGGAGGGACAACCTGGGCAACCCCAGCAACTACATGAGGTCCCACCCTGCCGTCCCTGTGCTCAGGCAAGCCGAATGTGTCTGGAGCAGGCCTGTACGCAGTCGAGATGAGTCCTCTTCCTCACCACCATCCTGCCATGGTTCTGTCATGGAGCCCCACCAGCATCAACCTCACCCCACGGTACGCTGTACAGACGTATTCCCCAGCCTTCCAGCTCCACCTGGTGGCCCGCTGAGGCCAGGCTCAGCTGCCCTCTGCTCACTGGCTCTCAGACCTCCTTACCTGTCTTGGTCAATGAGGCCCTGGTGCAAATGGACAGGTCTCCCCTTACCAGTAAGAGGAGAGGAAGAGTCCGACTTTCACGCATGCTCTCAGCACCTTCTCCTGCGACAGTGGCGGCCTGTCCAAAAGGTGCCCAGAACCCTTCAGGGCTTGGGAGTCACTTCACATTTCCAGGCTGGAGGAGTTGGGGAGGAGGCTTGGAGAGGGCTCACTCCCATACAACAAACCTTTGCCAGCATTAGGCCGTCCCACCCTATTCCTGCATCCTGGCGGGAGGCAGCAATACCTCCTTCCAGCTCTCCATGTCCTGAGAGCCGCGACCAGACAGAACCCAGCCACAGGCCCAGCTCCAGTGACGGCAGTTCCCAGCTGGCCTACTTGATCACAACCCCAGCCCCATCAGGGCAGCAGTCTCTCCTCTCCTTGGTCACTGGCGTCAGGCCAGACCCTCACACCAAGCAGGACAGAGGGCAAAAGCCAGAAGCAGCAGCGGTGGCAGAGAAAAAGAACGAGCACGAGACCCGGTGGGCTGGGCCAGCTACAGGGGCCAGGCTCTCCAGGGAAGTCAGGGGCAAGAGCTGTCTGGCAGCTCTGGGGCTGGCCTAGGTGGGCGTAGCAGGTTGTGTGAGACAGGTACTGGGGACACCTGCTCTGCCCGGATGCTGGGGGTTAAGAGGGGAGAGGGAGAGGGGGAGTCATCAGGGAAGGGTTTACAGAAACCAAGAAACCTGGGAAGATGGAGGAGAGGACCAGAAGAGGCTCCATGCTGGGGGGGGGGTGCCGGGAGGCTGTCTGAGAGAGAAGATGGGCAGAGGAGAAAAAAAAATGAGTCACAAAACTTAGTTAAGAGACCACAAGGTGAATTAGGGGACTTGAGGCCTTGGGAGGCACCTGGTCAATGGGGTTTGAGGGAGGATGCCTTTGGGAGGCTTGGAGGCCTATAGCTGATACTTGTGCTGCTGCCGGCTCCTTGGCATCAAAATGAACAGTGATGAAGTACCTGGGGACCAGAGCAGCCCCAAGGGCAGTTAGAGATTACTCTTCTTCACTTCCAGCCACCGTATCCAGTGACACTAGAGTTCACCCTTCGGAGCCTGGTTCTGTTCCCATCTAGGCCCCTCTCAGCACCTCACCACTCCCTGGCCACTCCCGAGGTCTGACAAGTCTTTGTTGGCACAGAGCAGGGACACACTGAGCCACATCCCCACAAGCATGGGTCATACCTGGTGGCATAGGCTGGTTTCACCTCACATGGGGTTCGCCCAGCCAGAAAATGAGCAACCGATCAAAGAGTGGCTCGATGTTGGCAACCACAGGCCGGCCCTCAGGGAAGATCTGCAGCAGGCCGCCATGCACCTGAGGGCAGGCCAGAGGATGAGGCAGGAGGCTGGCCGGTCCAGCCCCCACCCTCTGCCTTGCACTACCCTGCCCTCGGGCCTACAGGGGATAACAACGGCTGCACATATCATTCCCTCCCACCACTCAGGTTCTTAAAGTGAATGACAGCCCAGAGTCTGCATCACCATGGAGCCGGGGCAGGAAGCTACTAAAGACAGGAAATGGGATGGGGTAGGGGTGGGGGGGAGGGGAGGGGAGTGTTCCTTAGACCAGGGGCGAGGCAGACAGCACCATTCACCAAAGGGGGAGGGGGGTGCGTGCTGCCACCACATGGTCAGCTGGAGAGAAGGAGGTGCCATTTCCCAGGAAAAGCCAGCCAGCAGGCTAACTGCACTGCCGGCTGTGGACTGAGAAGAGGAACGGGAGAATGCCAGAAGCTGAGCTGGGAGCGGAAAATGGAGCGGATGCAGCCGCCTCACCCTCACCCCCTACCTTGACGTCCCAGTTCTGATTCAGGTAATAGATACAGGTGATGCAGCGGCCATCGCCATGGGGATTGTCAACATGCCTCACGTACCCCAGCCCGTTGCCTGGGTAACACGCCACCATGGCCTGGCAGAGACAGATGGAGGTGGGTTTACTGGGGCTAGGCAGCGATATTTGGGGAAGAAGCCATTACCTCCTCTCTTTCACCCCTCTGTGCCCCTTGTCTGTCCCCTGACTCCTCCAAGAGCTCCAGCCCCCAGACTTTCTTCTTTTCCAGCTAAGCCACCATCTACCAGAAACCTCAGCTCTTGGGCCTGAATAACCCTCTCCCTGTACACACGTGCCCAGAGCCTGGCACCCAGGTGGGGCTCAATGAGCAACTGAGGATTTTACTTCTTAAAGATAAACTGACCCCCGCCCCTCTGAGACCTTTCAGTGGAATAAAACCAATTTAAATGTTTTCTGGTATGGAAGAATGTGGCCTACTGCTCTAGACCACGGTTCCTGACCTTGGCTTCAGAGTGGAATCACCTGGGATGCTGATGCCCAGGCCCATCTCAGAGGTTCTGAAATATTTGGTCTAAGGTGGAGGCTGGAAATTTTAAAGGTTCCCCCAAGTAATTCTAATGTGCAGCAATGCTGAGGACTGCTGCCCTTGACTACAAAGAATCCCAAGTTGTGTGTTTCCTACACATATGAAAAGGTACCCAAACCCCGAGTGTGACTAGAACCTGAAATCCAACTCCCACTCCAAGAATGACCTGCTGGGTAGCCCCTGACAGTCCCGTCATCTAGATGGGCCTCAATGGCCTCATCTGTACTAAACACCTCCTCTGTTTACTGCCCTCTAACTTCAGAACTCTGAATTCCTGACCCCCACAGACCTAAGAGAAATCACTCCAGCTCTTGGCTTCGGTGTGTACAGGTCTAGCCACAGGGTTCTGACCTCCTCCCCCTGCTGGGTGCCATCCCCCTGGCCAGCCTTGACCACATGGAGGCCTAGGCCCTGGCCACTCGGGGTACCTGTTTCTCATTAGGGAGCTGACAGAAAAGTGGATGTGGTGTAAGGAAAAGGGCCCAGGCATTCCTTCAGACCTAACTCCCAGGTTCGAGTCCCAGTGCTGTCACACGAGCTGTAACATCAAGTGAGAGACTTCACTTCCCTGTCTCAGGTCCCGCATCCATGAAATGGAGCTGATCAACTACCTCACAGGTATTGTGGGAAGCAAACAAGACAGATGTTTGGGCAGGCACCAAGCAAGGTGCCTGTCACATGGAGAGCCGAAGCACAGACTAAAATGACACTAAAAAGAAAAAAAAAAAAGTCCCTATGCAGGCAGACCCTCCAGCTCCTTGGACCACCTGTCTCGACGCCTTGACCCACATCGGTGCCAGGCCACAGACCACCTGCTGATGCTCCCCACGAACGCTCAGCTACATCTGTTGGCCACAGCCCTGAAAGACAGCCCTGACCAGGAAGATTGGCATCTGCTGCCAAAACAGGAGCCTTGCCTGGCACTCTGTGGCAGGCCAGGCCGACTCAATCCTCAGCCTTCTTCCAACACATCACTCCCAGGGCTCAACCCAGCACGAATGGTAAACAGCTCTGCGTTAAACACGTGTCCCCGAAACAGCACAGCGCCTCCCTGGGGAGGAGCAGCCAGGAGGGCTTCAGCTGGGTAAGGCCATCCAGCCGTGGAGAGCCATGCTTCTCTCTGGCAGCGCCAGGGCGAGACCTTGGCCCCCACACCCCTGGTTCAGGAGAACCTTCTTTGCACTATTCACTCCCTGCAAATGGGTCAGTGTTCTGAGCAACCACACCACTGGGAGGAAGAATGTGGCTATGTCCGGGTGGCCTGCCATCAAGCCCTCCCCAGACAGAATCCAAGCAGAGATTTTGCTGGTTCTGCACAAGGACGGGGTGAGGAAGGGAGTCCAGTACTGTGGCCTCTTTCCCACAATCCATCCCCACACGGCAGCCAGAGACCCTTTTCTCCAGCTCTTCCTTGCTCAGATCCCTTCAAGACCCCCACCACATTCCAACAAAATACAAAATATAAATTGTGTATTTTCACAGCCTCAGCCTTCAAGGCCACCAACCTCACCTACCATCCCCATCACTCTGCTCCAGCACCTCAGGCCTCCTCACTGCTCTCACCAGACCAAGCTCAGCCACAAGGCCTCTGCACCTGCCTGGTACACACCTCCCCTGGTCCTCCTTGTTGTTCATGTCTCAGGTCCAAGGGCACCTTGAGTATCCAGCTGAATACACCTGGGCTGATCTTCCATTCTACCCTCTCAATGTGAAATCAGCACAAGTACTTGTTTACCTAGTACTGGCCTGACAGGCAGGCCCATGGAAGCCTCTGGGGCCGAGCTTGTCTCCCTAGCGCCCAGGCAGTAGCTGCTGACTGAAAGCACTCCTATGGGTCTCAGGGACTCCAACCTGTCCAGCCCTCCACACCCTTACACAGGGTCTCCCACCCATGCATGCAGGGACAGCGTCTGTATTCTGGCATGGAATGGGAGTTGTGCATGAAGGCTGGCAACAGAAACAGGCCCTTTAAACTCCCACCGATCCCCCCACCCACCCACCCACACACACAATGGCCCCAGAGAAGCATCTACTTCCGCTCCTACAAGGGAAAAGGACAACAAGCAGAGTGACATGGAAGTCTGCTCCTCACCCTCCCATCTCAGGGAAGGGGTAGCTTGTGTCAGAGCCAGGAGACTTAAAGATTTAAGGGCTATTGGTGACAATGTGCCAAAAACCCAAACCCAAACACACACACACACACACACACACAGAGTCAGAAACTGGGGAGTGAGACAGTCCCACCTCCAAGCTGCTCTGAAAGGGACAAACCAAGCCAGCCAGGCCCGCCCTATGGTCCCCGATGGCAGTCCTTGATGCCAGTGGGAGTCAACTCTCTCTCACCTGCAGGTCAACTGAGCAGAGAGACTAGAGAAAGTTGGGAGAACAAAACACAGGAGTTCCACTCAAGAATGACCAACAGATGGGGTGCCTGAGTGGCTCAGTCGGTTAAGTGTGCGACTTTGGCTCAGGTCGTGATCTCGCGGTTCCTGAGTTTGACCCCCGTGTCCGGCTCTGTGAGGACACTCAGAGCCCTAAAGCCTACTTCGAGTTCTGTGTCTCCCTCCCTCTCTCTGCCCCTCCCCTGCTCACACTCTCTCTCTCTCTCTCAAAAATAAACAAACATTAAAAAAAAAAAAAAGAATGACCAATAGGCAGATTGTTTCTGACGCCAGCCACACTGGTGATCTGTGCCCCCAACACCTCTGTGGCCACCCACCTCAGCTCACTCTTATTCCAGAGCCTGGGGAGGCCAGATGTTGCCCTTTGAAGGTAGGAAAGCCTGGAGTTGCTATCTCACTGGGGCAGGGGAGGGTCTGAGAGGAACTCCAGCGATTGGGTTGGGTCCTCCCCTCCATTCTCAGTTGGCCTGATTTGTTCTTACCTCCCAGAGCAACAGAAGTCACCCAAGACTAAAATAGTCCCAACACCCCCAGTCCCCAGCCACATCCAAAGCACCGAAGGAGAAGAAATTGGCTCCCTCTACTTTCCCCTTCTCTCTTAAAGCTGCCAAAGACTAGCTGGGGACCTAACTGATTTTCGTATCCTGTAGATGAGCAAACTGAGGCTCAGGAAAGCATGCTGCTCTGGGCCACTCAGCTCTCGTGGTCTCCCGCCCAAACTCCCTCCTATGAAGGTGGGTGACCTGGGGTGCAGGTGCTGAGGACCTTGTGGCCAGGGAGACTCCCACTCATCTCTCCTGCCTCGCAGGAGCAGAGCCTAGGGAAAGGCCTCCTCTGGCTCTCCAGCTATCAGGTAAGGGAGGAGGAGGAAGGAAGTAGGACAGGACAAGTTCCAGCTGGGTGGGGAGGATGCCGGCTTCAGCCCGGAGGGAGCCTGGATCCCTAAGCCAGCTCCAGCCAGTGACAGAGCTGTGCAGAGGCAGGACCCAGGATGGGATCAGACTGAAGAGGGAGACATCAGGAGCACAGCCTCATGCCCGCAGGGAAGCAAGCAGCCCCGCCACCAGCCAGGCATCACTGGCGTGCAGCAGGCACTCCCTACGAGGCCTTGTCCAGAAAGGCCCTGTGGACCAAGGTCTTCTGAAAAGCTCCTGACCCTAAGTTCCTGAACGGGCAGCTGGAGACACTGATGACTGCCCATAAACTCCACAAAAGAGCATTTTTCTTAAAAAAGGGTCTGTGGTTCTGACAGATTGTCAAAAAAGCCCAGGTGTCCAAAAAAAAAAAAAGGATTAACAACAACTACTCTAAAACAAGAAAAAGGTACCAAAAGACACAAAATAGGAAATCAAGAAAACAGATTAGGACCGACAGGAACGAAGTGATGGATAAACAAGACAGAAAGGATGAGGGGAGAGTCTAGGATGGGGAAGCACAGGAAAGGTGGAGGACAGGACTCCCATCTCCCAGGCCAGCGCACAAGCAGCCAGCGCCACCCTCAGGAAGCTGTCCCTGCTGCAGATGCCACAGCATGGCACAGGGGTACAATGGAGTCCAGCGCCAGCCAGGCGCAGCGGGCAGCACCTCCTCCCTCAGCCTGGCACTGGCTTCACCGCTGCCACCCTCCCCACTCTGTCTCCTGGTTCTCCTGCCTGGAAGACAGAACAGACGGACCAGAGACAGACAACAGGAGGGACCAGACAGACCAGGAGACGGGGATGGATGAAAAGATAGAGAAACAAGGAAAGAGAAAGTGCACAGACCCCCAAAGTCCCCACATGGAGACAGAGCCCAAAGCAAACTCCAACACCAGCACTCCCCCCACTGGAGCTGCCTAAACCCTTCTGTGACCCCAGAAGCCGGTCTCCAAGCACACAGGTACCCGATAGAGAAGCGTTGCCCCATCCCCCTCCAACAAGGCCCTTGCAGCCTTACCTTGGTGCGCCCGTTGATGACGTAGCCACCCAGGCGCCCAGCACAGTGGCGGATTACAGCATCCACGTGGGCCATGAGGACCCCGATGCTTCGGCAGCCCGGCTCGTGGCCTTCCACCCAGGCAATCTGGTCCCCGCGAATGCTGCGTGGCGGGATAGCCCGCTGGCTCACCAGCTGCCCGTCACGCAGGCGCCCACTCCGCTTCAGGGCCTCCACCTCGGCCAGCACACAGCCACCCAATGCTGCCCCCAGGAAGCTGTCCTTGACACAGATGCCATAGTACCGCATGCAGGGCACAATATAGTCCAGGGCCAGGCGCTCGGGTGTGGCGGGCAGCACCTCCTCCCTCAGCCCTGCGCTGGCCTCGCCACTGTCACTGCTGCAGCCCATCCCGCCCTCCCCTTCGGCCTCTGCCTCCCGGTTCTCCTGCCTGGCCCAGGACCGCTTGCTGGGTGCAGGGGCATCCCCGCCATCCTCTGCCCACTTCCGTTTGGGGGCCTCAGGCCGGGCGCCCTGGGCCGCCAGTCGCTGGCACCCCTTGGTGACCAGTGCTGCAGCACCCTCACTCTGCAGGGGCCGCAGCTCACCACCATCCTGCCCGCCTAAGCCCTCCCGCAGGGGGCTGGCTGTGGTGGAAGTGGCTGTGACCCTGGGGGTCCCACTCCCCGCCGAGGCCTCACCAGGTGCTCCTGGTCGGTGGTAGGAGGGTAGCAGGGGACAGGGCAGGTAACTCTCCACCCCCATCCTGGCCCGGCCAGGCTCCGAGGGCTCTGACACAGAACCCGGCAACTGAGGGAGAGCCTGACTCAAGGGCTGCGGCTGGCACGGGCTGTCCATGGCAGCAGCGTCTTCATCCCCCGGGCATGGAGGGCACGGCCCGGGCCCATGGTGCCACCCTCCTCCGCCTCCGCCTCCTCCACTTGATGCAGCCGGGGGCCGGAACGGCTGAGCCTGGCGTGGGGCAGGATGAGGCAGGGCAGGCAGCAGAGGCTCTTCTCGTGCCCTGGGGGTGCTCGCTGGTCCCCAAGTCCTCTGCCGCCCCTAGGGGCTTGGGAAAGGACCCGTCAGGGTGGCTGAAGGGGGAGAGAGAAAAAACGGAATGTGAGAAGAGCTAGAGGCAGTCCGGCGGGGGTAGCGGTGAGGAGTGGCAGGGGCAGTGGGGAGGAAGGCAGACTTGGTTACGGAGACCCCCCCCAAAGGCCAGGCCAAGTCGGGGACAAGATCATGGGAATTTCGGGCGGGAGGGGGGAATCATGGAGAGAGAAGGCAGTGAGGGAGGCAGCCGAAGAGAGGAGTGAGACTGGGGAGATGACCCAAAGGCACAGGACTACGGTGGGGGCTCGGACACAGAAACTGAACAGCAAGGAGAGAGGGGGCCTGGAGTAGAAAAGGAATACTGGGGCAGCAGGGAGCGCGAGAGTTGGAAACAAATCCACAAGGTGGGGGGGACTCTGCCTGGGGATTCCAGGGACACACGGCGGGAACGTAAGGCTCCACAGACAGAGCAAACCGGGGAGTCCAGAGACAAAGAGAATGGGGGGATCCAGAGACGGAAAAGCCGACCGGAGAGAAGCTGGGCGAGCCTGAGACGGCCGGACTGAACGGGGCGGAGGGGTCAACCTAAGCCCAACGAGAGGAAGCCAGCCGGCGGCTGACACACACCCAGACGGAAGGGAGGGCCTAAGACAGACAGACAGACGGACGGAAGGCAGCCGCTGGAGGAGGGTCCACTACGACAGGGGGAAGGGCGGGGGAGGGGACAGAACAAGAGAGGGCGGCCCCTCCCAACCCCCTTCGGTGCGGGCCTCCCAGCTCGGGGCGCCGCAGGCGACGGAGGCCCGGCCCGTGGACCGCTCGGACCCCGGATTCCCTCCCCCCTCACCACCGCCGTCGGCCGGCGCGCGCTCTCCGCTCCCCCGCCCTCAACGGCCGGCACTCAACGCGCCCGGCGCGTTCCCTCCCCCACGCCCTACCCCCACCCTTCCCTTCCCGGGGTCGCAGCGCTCCGCCACGCCGGGCCGGCAGGCGCCCCCACACCTCGCTCGGCTCGCGCCCGCGCCCAGGGTCCCGCGCCCTCTCCGCCCCACTCCCTTCCTAGCTCTCTCCTCACCGAGCTTTTTCCTCCGGCCTCGGCGCCGTCGTTTGTGCCAGCCGCCCAGCGCCGCACAGCGCGCCATACCCCGCCCCCACCTCCCGCGACGCTCCGCCCCTGCCTCGCCCGCTGGGCACGTGACCTCACCCGCTGAGGAGGCCGTGCGTGCGCAGGCGTGAGCCGCGCGGGGCGGAGCAAGGAAGTTCAGAACACCCTCCTGGAGGAAGGGGAAACGGGTCGGCCGCCAACGCGAGGCTCATTTGCGTACTGCACTCCGCCCCTTTTGCCCGGGAGGAGGAAGGGGGTTAAAAGGGCTGGATCAGGGAAAGGGGGGAGGGCTCTGCGGTAGGCCAGGCGATGTGGGAGTGGCATGCAAATAAACTGTTTACATAGGCCTGCCCACCCTCTCAGAGCCCAGAGCGCCGGAGAATGACGTGTAGCCGGGTCTGACAGTGGCATGCAAATGAGGTTATTTACATGGGCAGCCCCGCCTTCTCACCGCCCAAGAATAGAGATGTGATAAATGTCTGCACAGTTAGTTGGGAAATGTATGTAAATGCACACATTAGTAATCTACTTAAGTACCTTCTATAACGGAGGGAAAGAAGTGCAGAACGCCCCTGAGAGAAGAGAGAGCGGACTGGAAGGGATGTGTGCCAAAATATGATCCGCTTCATCCTGCCTCTTCGGGACAATTGTGGGCAACCTAGGAAGGCTACGCAGAGAAGACATTTGTCTAACAGCCTTAGGTCTATGAACATTTTGGGCGACCCTGCCTGGAACGACTATGCAGATAAGGTCATTTAAATACCCTGCCCCCTCCACCATCGCCAGGGCAGACGGGGGTTTAGGGGCTCAGGCCTGCCCTCTGAGTGGGTTAGTGCTGACCTGGGGATGGCAGAGAAATTGGGAGGGTCTCAGGGGGCTGCACCTGTCCCTGGTTTTGTCAGTTCACCAGGACGCAGAGAGATATACACCAGTCTCAAATATGCAAGGGTCAGGGTTGCACAAAGGCCCACAAAGCCTTTAGGGGCATACTCAGGGTTCATGGTCACACACGGGTGTATCAAAGATGCCAAATTCACACTAAGACAAACACACCTCAGGGGCATACATACACAGTCACACACGCAATAGTCAGACACTGCCTGGAACTTTCAAGCATCAAACACACGTAGGTTTCACCTACAAACCTGAATTTTCATTCCCCGGCATTGGTGCCAAATACCACCAGCCTCATGGATACAATCACTGAGGACACAAAGCAGTCACAAGCAACAGTGTCACACACAATCAGCACACATTCCTACAGATGCCATCACACACCCATCACACACATCACAAACACAAGGACATCAGCGCTACACAGGTGGGCCTCCAGCATGCCTTGTCACAACAAGTGCAGTGAGAAACCCCCCTCCACAGCAAACATCTGAGTCATGGTGTACCCCCACATCATATCCAAACCACAAACATGACCCCCAAACCCGTGGTTCTTCCATCAGGGACCTCTTCTGTCTCCCCTCCCTCCCCATCACCCCAAAATAACGGAGGCCAAGACGCAGGTGTAAACAATGCTTTATGGAGGTGGAGTAGGGACTGAACAGGCCTCCAGGCAATAAATAACACATACTCGCAATGGCAGGGCCAGGCGGGGAGCTGGGGCCAATTGCCCTGGTCTCAGGCTTTGGGAACTCTTAGAGTATGGTTAGGGTTTCAGGGGGGACAGGGGTTAGCCAAGACAGAGGAAGCAGCAGCAGGTACGGATTCCCCCTTCCCCCGTGGCTCAGTCTTGCCCCTCAGCCAGGCCCCACCAGGCCAGGGAAGGGGGATAGATGGCGGGGCAGCTTCTCTGGGGCCAGGACAGGTGAGGGGCTCTGCCTCCCAGGGCCTGGGGCTAGGCCCCAGCCAGAGGGCAGGGCTGGTCCTGGAGAACAGGTGAGCTGAAAGAAAAGTGTGTGGTGAACTACAGGGATCCTCAGTCTGTCCAGCCGGTATCTCTGCCTCATTTCTGGGTATCTTCCTGCCCTCCTATCTGTGTCTGTCTGCCCATACCTTTCTTTTTCTCCCAAAGTTCCTACATTTGCTGTCTGATTTTCTGCAGGCAATTTGGAGCTATCTCTTTGAGGGTACTTGTATCTCCCTATTTATCTGTCTCAGAGAGCTGACCCCTGGAGTCTATAGAGGAGTATCTCAATATCTAAATTTCGCATCCCACCTTTGTTATCTCTGTGTTCCTGGATCACCGTGGCTCATTCCAGTGTTTTCCAAACTGAAGAGCCGCATTTGGTTAGTGGTTGTTGCTTCAGCTACAGATAGCATTACCTGGGAGCTTCTAGAAATCCGGAAATCACTTCAGAGTCTCTGGGGTGAGGCCCAGACATCAGTAGCTTTTAAAGCTCTCCAGGTGATTTCAGTGTGCGGCACTGCATGAGTGGGCTGGGAAATCAGTTTGGTGGGCCTTGGCCAATTTGTCAATGAACGAATAAAACAGAATAGAGAATATCAGGGGGCACCTGGGTGGCTCAGTCGGTTAAGCGGCCGACTTCGGCTCAGGTCATGATCTCGCGGTCCGTGAGTTCGAGCCCCGCGTCAGGCTCTGTGCTGACAGCTCAGAGCCTGGAGCCTGCTTCAGATTCTGTGTCTCCCTCTCTCTGACCCTCCCCCGTTCATGCTCTGTCTCTCTCTGTCTCAAAAATAAATAAACATTAAAAAAAATTAAAAATAAAAAAAAAAAGAATAGAGAATATCAGAGTGCATCACGTGTAATAGGAATATTGGTCCACAGCGACAGCAAACAGATTGCTGGGTGTCAGGGGCTGGGGGGATCGGGGAATGATTGCCTAATGAGCACAGGGTTTCCTTAGGGTAATGAAAATGTTTTAGAACAAGACAGAGGTGGTGGTTGCACAATTTTGTGAATGGACTAAGTGCCACTGAATGGTGCACCTTAAAAGGGCTAAGTTTAGGTCATGTGAATTTCACCTCAATCAAAAAACATTAGTGCTAGGAAAGTGTTTCAGTCTTTTATGTGTGTGTGACTGTATTAGATCAAAGTATACAATTGATTTCCTCCTGCAGACTGCAGTCAGTAACATCTGAAAAAGCACTGTCTTATTACATTTGATTCACTGAGGGTAAACACTGAAATGGATGCTATACTAAGCCCGAGGGTGAAGAATACGCACCCATCCATTTCTACACAGCCCGACTCTTTAAAATGGATAGTAAAAAGAAAAATAATTCACAGCCCTCATTTATCGAGTCTCCGCTAAGTGTCAGGCCCTGTTCTAAGGACTTTACATGGATTAATGTAATTAATCTTCACAAAACCTACGTGAGGTAGGTACTATTATTAGCCCCAATTGGAAGGTGAGGCAACCAAGGCCCAGAGATGTTAAATAAGTTGCCCAGTGTCACACAGGTAGCAAGTGACAGAGTCAGTTTAAACACAGGCAACCTGGCTGGGGAATCTCTGATCTGTCACCTCCCTCCTTCTCAGATGGGGAAGACAAACACAAACAATAATGATCAAGTATTCAGACTGAATGCTTTAAAAATAGGGGGCACTTGTGCGACCACTCAGCTAGAGGCAGTGACCCCATCTGGGAAGCTGATAAAGGTGTCCTGCAGCAAGAGTCGTTTTAGCAGAGAGCAGATGATGAGTGGCATCTGGCCTAAGAAAGGAGGCTGGAGGACAGACAGGCACACCTAACCGAGGCACAGCAGAGGCAGAGGCATGGAAGGAAAAGAATTTTCTGCCCTAAACACTCACCCTTGACTCCTCTCTTTCAAATGCCATATCCGTTCATCAGGAAATTATGTTGGCTCTGCCTTTAAAGTATACCCAAGGTCGAGCACTTCCCCCCCTCAGCCACTCTGGAGCTGCCAATAGCGGGAGGCGGGGGGGGGGGGTGAAACACAGGGGATAATTGGCAAGACAGACACCCTCCCAAAGAAGTGGGGATGGGACCTGATCCTGTAGGATCCTGCAAGCCCGGCAAGGAGTCTGGACCAACCATAGGGGAAGTGAGGCTTGCTGGAGGAGGGGGAGGTGGTCAGAGATGGTGTTCCTGGCAGAGGGAACAGCATGAGCAAAGAGCCAGAGAAATGGAAAGAACTTCGGTGTGGCTGCGGTGGCCTGAGTGCTGGGGAGAGGTGTGAGCTGAAGCAGGAGAAGCTGGCGGAGGCAAACACCAGGCTGGGAGCTTCAGCTTGGTCCCATGAACCCTGGGAGCCACGGGTGGTTTTAAACAGGGGAGGGACAGGATCAGATTTGTGCTTTAGAAAGACCCAGTGGCTCCATCAAGAGGGTACAAGACTGGAGACAGAGACCAGGGAGGATACAAAGCTATCCACGTCTCAGTCCCTCCTCCCCCCCAACCCTGGTCCTGTCCACCATCTTCTCTCAGCTTGACTTTGCAGTAGCCTCCTCACTGGTCTCTCAACAACCACCCCCGCCCACCCCCTTCTCTCCTCTATATGCAGCCAGAGGGACCCTGGGAAGACCTGAATCAGGTCCTGTCCCTTCTTTGCTTGGAGCCCTCCTGTGGCTCCCATCCCACCCAGGGTATAACCCAGAGCCACCTCAAGGACAGCCAGGCCCTACCTGATGATCTGCTTCCCCTGATCCCTGACTTCATCTCCTATTTACCGCTCCCAGCCCTCAATACACACACATACTCCACTCCAGCCACACTGGCCTCCATGGACTTCCTCATCCAGGCCAGGCATGACTTACCTCAGGGCCTCTGCACTGGCTGTTCTCTCTGCCTAGAACACTCTTCCCCCAGGGACCCATATGACCCTGTCCTTCTCCTCCTTCAGGTCTTTGCTCAAATGTCACCTCCTCAGTAAGGGCTTTCCCGCATCATCATAAAACTCCACTCCTTACCTCCCCACCCCAACTTCCTTGCTTTATTCTTCTCCTTAGCTCTTATCTCCTTAACTACGATATCATTTTCTTATGTGTCTTGATTATTGTCTGTCTCCTCCCCAGAGCATGTTGGCCCTGCGAGGGCAGGAATTCTCTAGCCCACTGCTCAAACAGGACCTGGCACACAGTGGACACTCGATAAATATTTGCCAAATGGGTGGGTC